TGAAAAAGTGACTAAAGGGGTCAGATTAGGGAAGGTAGAAGTTTGGAGGCTTTTTAGGGAGTTATGACAGTAATCCAGGAGAAAGATAATGGTGTCTCATACTAAGGTGATAGCAGTGGAAGTAATGGGAAATGGTTGGTTTCTGTAGTTATATGTGTATGTAATTTTATATTTTTACCTATTTGTTATGGAAAATCTCAAAAACATTCAAAAGCACAGACATGAGTATAATGGATTCCCATGTTCCTAATCAGCGAACCTATCATGTGTTATTATGTGTCAGGCACTTTGCAACAGCTGCAAGAATTGCCAACTTGTACCAATCTTCCTCCCCAACCCTAGACTGAGGAGAAAGCAGTTCCCATATTTCATGTGTAAATATTTCAGCTTCTACTACTCCAGCTGCTTCTGACTGCCCCAACATTCTGGTATCCGCCTTATTGTTTCTGTTTGTTCACGTTTCATGTATTCATTACTTCGACTTATTGTCTGCCCTATATGTCCTCTGTAAACCTTTTTCCTTCCTATCAGCTACAAACTGTGTACTTCTCAAATTCACACTTGCTAAAAAGAGGTTCTTGTAGGGTCGGTCAGTTGTTATTTTCATGATCTGGCCAAATTGTGGTAGATTGGGTGCTGTTGGTTCAGGAACCCTCTTTTGGCCAAACAGGTTTTTGTAATGACAAGGTTAATTTTCTCAAAAAAGGATTATTGAAATGGAAGTTGCTTAACAAATAATAGGCTGCTCTCCAATACTAATAAATAGTGGAAATTTAATACTATAAAGACATAAGTTGTGAAAAAAGTAAGACTGCAATGAGACTAGAAATAGATGTGTCTAACCACTGAACATTATTATTTTACAGTCTGACCTGACTCATTTAGAGTGCTATTTTTGGGTGCCACTGAGGAATTTAGGACATTTTTTTCTTAATATATTTTTGTTTATAACAGGCTAAATGATAGCATAGATGATAATCATCTAGACTGGAAGTCAAGACCTACATTTAATTCTTCTGTTCATCATTGACTTTGCATAGTATTAGGCTAAAAAACTTCCTTATGCCTTTGTCTCCCTCAAATGATTAATACCTGCCTTTTCCTGATTCGTGTATGGTAGACAGATAAGATTAGAGGGTTAAAAGTACATTGAGCTTTTATGAAGAGAAGCATGTGAAAATTTAATTACTATTTCCTGTGTCAACATTTTTATGAAATTATAAAATGAACATAGATTTAAGGGTTTTTGTATAAATTTAAGGAGGACAAGTATAGTTTTGTTACATGGATATATTGCATAGTGGTAAAGTCTGGGCAGTAACCATCAACCCCCGAATAATGTGCATTGTACTCATTAAGTAAATTCTCATCCCTCGCCCCACCCCCACCCCTGGCTGACCCTCCAACCCTTTCAGGTCTCCAGTGTATACTATTCTAAACTCTGTGTCCATGTATATACATTATTTAGCTCCCACTTAAAAGTGAGAACATTCAGCATTCAACTTTCAAAGGTTACATACTCTCTAATCTATTCATTTTCATCAGGTACTCAAACTTTTCTTTCTACATTTTAATGTATGTGTCATGTGTGTATACTTAGAAACCGTGTATGATATGTAGTAAGAACTATGTAAATGTTAAGCTGTTGTCTGCATCAGTGTGAAAAATAATTTGTCAAAAGTCCATAGAGTTAGAAATGCTTAAACATTTGACCCCTCCCTCCATCCCCTAACATATACCCTGCTTTGAAGCACACAAAATAGTACATCCTGTGAAAATATGAATAAAAGTACATTTTCTGAGCCCTGGAAAATTGGCAATGTATGTGTTTATGTCAAAAGAAATACAGCAACAGCAAAAAAGAAAATCAGCAATGTATGTGTTTATATGAAAAAAAATACAAGAACAAAAAAGAAGGGGGTTGTTAAAAAGTGCATTGGTCATTATATCTCCATTGTTCTCAGAGACCAGTTAGTAGACAGGCTGCATCAAAATCAGCAGGAAATTTTCACGAATTCTTGGTTCTACTAGAGATTCTGATATAGTAGAATAACAGTGGAGATTAAGAATACAGAAATTGTTGAAGTTTCTCAGATGATCCTGATTTTCAGCCAGGTCTGGGAATTACTGATGTATAGAAAAATATAATACAGTTTTTAATTTAACTCAGTATGTTAGTTATTTCTGGGAATCACTAATGTGTAGAAAAATGTAATATAATACTTAACTTAGTGCATCATTTATTTCCCATCATCCTAATCAAAGTGGTATGTATTGGGAAATAACTACCCCCAGGAAAGCAGACTGGAAGTACATCTATCAAAATCAGAATGGCAATTATATCTGGATTATGAGTTTATGGAAATATTTATTTTACATTTATGTTTCTTATTTCTAAGATTTCTGGTTGAGCATATATTGTTTTTATAATAGTAGATATTCACAATCAGTGCAAGAAATTTATTCATTATCAGTGCACGAGTTTAAAGACTCATATTCAGCCTATGGTTTTAGTTTATCAAATGTAAAGAAAAATAAATTTGGGAGGCTGAGGCAGGAGGATCACTTGATGCCAGGAGTTCAAGACCAGCCTGGGCAATATAGCAAGACCCCATCTCTAAAAAAATAAAAACAAGACAAAAAAATTAGCTGAGTATGGTGGTATATAACCATGGTGATATATACTCAGGCAGGAAGATTGCCTGAGTCCAGGAATTTGAGATTACAATGAGCTATGATCTCTCCACTGCATTCCAGCCTGAGTGACAGAGTAAGACCCTCTCTCTACCAAAACAATCTGTCAATTAATATTCACATACTTTTTCTTTTAAAAGGCAAGGCTACATATAAAGCAGCATGGGAACAATATTTATTTCTGCTTTTAAAATGTCACAAATTCTTTTAGTAAATATTTATCTTAGAGAATATAAAGCAAATTAAATCCTAATTAGTTTATACTTCTTTTGCTTTGGCAAGAATGGAAATATACCAATGTTTATAAAAGGACCAATCAGTCAGCAACCTTATACTTGATGGGGAGAGAGAAACAGTTCTGGTACAATGTAGATCTTCTGTCCAATTTGTATTTTTGGCTGTGCTCTGAGAATAATGCTCAATCCTTTTTAAAGATTCTTTTGGCTTCTACTCCTTTATATACATAAATCTAAAAGGTGTTAAGAAACAGAAAAATTTACCATAAGCTTTACATCTAAATTAAATGTTAATTAAGTAGAAAATTAAGAAAAAGTTTTAAGACATTAAGAAATAGTATCATCTTAGTTTTAAATGAGTTTATACAATTTTTTTGTAGTTGATAGCAACATTTTATTCAGATATAGGATACAGCCATTTAAAAATACATGTTGGTTTGTAGTCATTTACATTTTCAGTTAAAATAGGTATTAGCTATTTGACATATATTTAAGTTCTCTTTAGTAAATAGGCATCAGAAAATAGTTATACAATATTTTTAAAATCAGAAAGATTTACGAGAAAAGAAGTAGTCTGTTTACTGGAGATGTAGCTCAGCAGTGACAAAAGTTATTGTTATGTAGTCATATTTGCCTTTGGAAAATGGCTATAAATTTTGCAACTCACCTGGACTAGTTCACCGCCTATAATTTCTCTGACAGTATTCAGTTCTTTTCCATTTTCTATCCTTTTGAATTTTCCAGTAAGTTTATTTCCCTCAAGGGTCCAAATACCCTACATATTAATTATAATAATAATGGCACTTTTAAACATGTTAGACCCTGTTGTGAGTTCTGTAGACACGTTTATATTTAATCTCCGTGGTAACCCTATGAAACTGAAACTGTTATCTCTACAGAAGAGGAGACTGTAAAATGGCATAGTAATTCACCTAAAGTCACAGAGTCGGGATTGAACCTAGGCCATTAGGCTACAGAGTATTGCAAAGTACTACAGAGTAGTACAGGTAACCATTATGCTTGTTTTCTTCAGTAATTTCCATATGCTGAATTTCAAGGCAGATGAACAGGACTTCTTTCTGAATCGTTCATGTTATGTGTCCAGAAACATAGTCTTGGTTAAAATTAGTTTCATGGAGAGGTTAACAACTCTGTGCTTGGTTTTAATTTGTGTGATTGTAAAGCTAAATAAAGAAAGGCATAACTAATAGGCAATACATTACAGCAGTTAAATTGTCATTACAAACGTGATTTAAATAGAAAAATTCTGAGGCTAAAAAAATGTTTTTAAAAAATGTTTGAAAATGATGACTTTCTAAAATGTGTTCTCTTAAACATGAAGAGGTACACTCCCAATGACCTGCAGTACGTTAAACCTTTCCATTTGGTAACTCACTCAGTTGTTCATTGATTCTTTTCTTTTAGTATTTCAACATATTATGTGGCTATTACAGTTAAGTTACATAACTCGAAAAGCTTCTGTTGCTGTACTTTTTTTTTTTTTTTAAGTTGTGCACTTTTATTTAACTCGTCTCAAGTCGGTGTACAGGTAAGCCCTAGCTGGCTCCACCCACTCCCAGGGAGACCAAAAGCCTTCATACATCTCAAATTGAGGAACAAAAGTGGGGTAGCCACAGAGGCTAAAATCTTTCAAAATAAAACAAAATTAAAAAATACTGAGGCGAAATTTAAAAATTGTTTTTATGACATAATTTACACAAAAACAATGCTGTTATCTCCCTTGTATGGACATGGGAGAGGACTGGGCCATTCTCCTTAGAGAGAAGTGGGGTGGCTTTTGGGAGGACAAGGGAATTCCTGTAACGATGCATCTCATGATACTGGGAATGACTATTAGAAAAAAGAACAGTGTACAAAGTTCTCGGCCACATTGTAGAACTTTTGGGGATGCTTGCTCCAGCTGACTACTGTCACCTTCACCATTCCAGTTTTTAAATCCTGAGTCAAGTCAAGCTAAAACAAAACAAAACAAAACAACAAATAAAGTCATGCCAATCTCATCTTGTTTGCTGGGCAAGTTAGGTTTTGTCAAGAAAGGGTGTAATGCAACTAAGCCACAGTCCGACTGGAGCGTCGTCGTCGTTTGCGGTGGACGATGGAGGGGCCAAACTCGTCATACTCCTGCTTGCTGATCCACATCTGCTGGAAGGTGGGCAGCGAGGCCAGGATGGAGCCGCCGATCCACACGGCGTACTTGGGCTCAGGAGGAGCAGAGACCTCGATCTTCATGCTGCGGGGCGCCAGGGCCGTGATCTCCTTCTGCATCCTGTCAGCCATGCCAGGGTACATGGTGCTGCCACCAGACAGCACTATGTTGGCGTACAGGTCTTCGTGGATGTCCACATCACACTTCCTGATGCAGTGGAAAGTAGTTTCGTGGATGCCGTAAGATGCCATGTTCAGGAGGGAAGGCTGGAAGAGCACCTCAGGGCAACGGAACCGCTCGTTGCCGATGGTAATGACCTGGCCGTCGGGCAGCTCGTAGCTCTTCTCCAGGGTGGAGAGGGAGCCTGCCACGGCCATTTCCACATCAAAGTCCGGGGCGACGTAGCACAGCTTCTCCTTGATGTCATATACCGTTTCCCGCCCAGCTGTGGTGATGCAGCTGTAGCCACGGTCGGTGAGGATCTTCGTGAGGTAGTCAGTCAGGTCCCGGCCAGCCAGGTCCAGACGCAGGATGGCGCCAGGAAGAGCACACCCCTCATAGGTGGGCACAGCGTGGGTGACCCCATCACCGGAGTCGATCACAATGCCAGTGACGCGGCCAGAGGCGTACAGGGACAGCTCGGCCTGGTTGGCTACATACGTGCCTGGGGTGTTGAAGGTCTCAAACATGATCTGGACCATCTTTTCTTGGTTGGCTTTGGGGTTCAGGGGGGCCTCAGTCAGCAGCATGGGGTGCTCCTCAGGAGCCACACACAGCTGGTTGTAGAAAATGTGGTGCCAGATCTTCTCCATGTTGTCCCAGTTGGTGACAATGCCACGCTTGATGGGGTACTTCAGGGTCAGGATGTCTCTTTTGCTCTGGGCCTCATCACCCACATAGTAGTCCTTCTGACCCATGTCCACCAGCAAGCCCTGGTGCCTGGGGCGCCCTACAACGGAAGGGAAGTTGGCCCGGGGGGCATCGTCACCCGCAAAGCCGGCCTTGCACATGCCAGAGCCATTGTCAACGACGACTGCAGTGATATCGTCGTCCATGGTGAGCTGGTGGTGGCTGTGGACGGGCTGCAGAGCGGTGAGGGCAAGGCTTTGTGCTTGCAGGGCAGACGTGGTCTCCGCCCTGTTGCTGTAGTGTTTAAAAACAAAGTTTTAAAGTTCTTTATGAATAGGTCTATACTCAGTCATTCAAAGGTATTTTTATAATTCTTATATTGTTCAATTCAGATTCTTCACAGATATGTATAAAAATAAAAGCATAACATTTAAATACCCTGCCAATTTGGGCAGTACATAACATGGACAAACTTCACTGGCTTCTTCAGTAAATGAAGGAGACCTGCATTAATTAAACTATCAAATGAAATAGGGCAGAGATCATTTCAGTACTGGGTAGAAAAGTCAAGAATGCATTACTCATAAAAAAAGTTCTTACAGAGAATTCAGTTTCATCTGCAAGGTTGTAATTAAAGGCATCACCAAGTTCAAAAACAACTTCAATGTTTCTAAAAGTGCTTGATTCTTTGAATTATTTCCTTCTTGTGTAATTGTCAGTTTTGAATTGTCATGAGCTGCAAGCTTCCTTTTCACTGTATTAACACCTACAAAAGATAAGGCAATGGAGAAAATAAAGTCAAATGCCATAGGAAGTGTTTATTTTTCCAAGTTATGTTTTGTTTGCTTATTTTTGAGGGTGGGAAGAAAACTCAGTAGCATTGCCTTTGCACCCAGAGCATTCAGATTGCTTCTACAGAAGTTCAGGTTCAGTCAGATCAAGAAAACTGATTAAAGTTGTTTCTCCAAAACTTGAGAAAAATTAAGTAGTGTACAGAATTACAGAATCTTAGAGCTGAGCAACTTTAATAAGATTAACAAACTGTTCATTTCAGTGTTAAGTAAATCAAATTCTAGAAATGTCAAATGAAGGATTAAAACGTATACTCATGTTTATAAGGAAGCACATCTTTAATTCCATATATACAGTATTCTTTTTTTCTTAAATTCCCCTTTGTTTTTCATAGTGGCTTTAAAATTTTGAACTTTATAATTCTCTTTTTTTTTCTTGTGGCATTTCTGACTGACACAAAAACGAGCAAATTAGCAAATATACTCAAAAATCACTGTAAGAATCTACAACTTTTATAAATTTGAACTTAGAAATCCTAAACTGTAGGCTCTAATTGATGCAACTTTTCTTTTGGGAAAATGACATGAATTTGTTTGGCTATCTTGTGTAGTATATGGGCTACCAGAGTATTGGTATCAATTTAAAAATCAGTTAAATTAAAGCCCCCTGAAGAAAATACATAGCCTCTCAACATTATTCCATGACTTTTATAAGTTTGAAGAAATGAGATTTAAGTCTAACTTATTCGGAGCTGTAAATTTTAAGAGACTTTTTCCCATTACTTTCTTATATGGTCTTGGCTTTTGCATCCCCTAGAACTGAATGTTTTTAAATCTAGAAGTTATCATTACATGCCACCGTTTTCTTATTGTAAACAACAAAAAAGTCATTTTTCAGTTAAAGAGTAAAGGAAACATATCTGGATCTTTTTGGTGTGTTTCAGAGAACAGCACTCAAAGAATCTTGTCTTCCATTAGTAAGATAGTAGATTCTTCCTAATAAAAGAAGTGAGAATATGGTTTCCCTACTCTGAGCATCTTCTGGATCCTCACTACCATATCAGAAGCTATCCCTAAGCCCAGACATTTAGGAATTAGAAAGAAAAGTGTTTGTAAGAAGGCAAAGAATGAGCAACAAAGAAATAAACTCTTTACCCACTTTTTCCATGAACTTGTCATAGTTTTTACTCTGGTCTACCTTCCACTTGCTGTCAAACGTGATGATGTCAGTTGAGTCAGCCTCCAGGCACTTAGAGATTCAGGTCTGTCCTTGGGCGAGAATTTATTCTATTTCTTATCTTAGAACCAACTTCATACTGTGACATGGAAGTTTAAAGTTCAGAGATCACTTAACTACTCTATGTCAAACAATTTTAAATATCTTTCTGTACATTCTTGAGATTTCTGAAATTAAACTGAATTAAAACATGAACAGCATCCTTATTCTGTCTTAAACTACAATTTGTGGGCATACTTATTTCAAGATTTAGAATGCATGCTGTCTGAAGATTGTTTTTCTAAGTTCAAAGGGCACACTACATTGGAGCGAATGTAATTTATAGCATATAGCAAATAACATCTGGGAAATGAAAGCATGACCTATCCCTTTTTCACAACAGCAATTATCTTACAGTTGAAAAGTTAAAGTTAATAAAATGTGTTTTCTACCATGTCTTTTTGCACTGTGTTTAGAATTGCCAAGAGTTGGGATAAATATCTGGCACTTTGTACAGTGCACAACACCCAATAAGTGCTCATTGATTTTTGTCTTGATTTTGAATGGTGATAGGCCACTGAGCAAAATTTCAAGAGGTATCAGTGTGGCTGGATAGTATAAAAACTCACATAAAAGAAAGAATGAGCTTTAAACATCTGCCATGTGCAAACAGAACAAGAGCCAGTTTTAACTATGCCATTAAGTAAAACCACTCCTTCGTTTTACTCTCAGTGCCTCTCATCCCCAAACCCAGTAGAGTCAGAAGCGACAGCTCAACATGTATGTGAGGTCAGGGACTAGAGGGTAGCTAGAAAGGTACAAAGAAAAGGTCACCATGTCTCTCCTTTCCCTACTTCTGGCTGCCAACCTGGAACAGGCCAAGCTGGGGGAGGAAACTTGGTGTGAAGTAAGAGTTTTGATTACTGGTCTTAAGATGTTTATTACTAAAATAAGTCTATTATTGTGGCTGAATGTGACCAGATAACATCTTATTAACATAGTATGAGAGTTAGAATGCATGTTGTGTGAAGATTGTTTTTCTAAGTTCAAAGGGCATACTATGTTGAAAGTCAGGAAAGAAGCTCTAGGGCTTGCCCAAGATATTACTTAGGGTCAGGGGAAGACATATCTAACAGATTTGAATAGAACATAGGGAAACAGAATCTTGGTTTTTAAATTTTGATATTATTATATATTTTAATTTTTAAAAATCTTTTAAACACTTTTGTATTGTTTGATTTTTTTTTATTTTGAGTTGCCAACTTTTTATTTTATTAGGTAAGCACATTAAAAAGCAAACTATCTTCTATTAGCTCTATTATTTCATTAAAAAAGGAAAGGAGTTGCTGGTGCACTGGCTCTTGCCTGTAATCCCAGCTACTAGGCTGAGGCAGGAGAATCACTTGAGGCCAGGAGTTTGAGAACAGCAGTTTGAGACCAGCCTGAGCAACATAGCAAGAGCCTGGCTTTAAAAATTATAATAAAATAAATTAGCCAGATGTAATGGAATATTCCTGTAGTCCCAGCTACTTGGGAAGCTAAGGCAGGAGGATCTCTTGAGGCCAAGAGTTTGAGATTGCAACAAGTTGTGATCATGCCAGTGCACTCCAGCCTGGGCAACAGAGAGACCCCATCTCTAAAAAATAAATAAATAATCTTTTAATGTCAAAAAGGGAAAGAAAAAGAGACACACATACATACTCATGTGTTGGGGACAAAGGTCATTATGCAAAGTTGTTTATGTTCATAATTTAAGCTTTACTTCAAAACTGGGTGCATTGTGATTTTTTTCTCTTTTTGTCAATGATTTAATACCTTATCATTTGGAAACCATTAACCTAATATACTTTCAGCTTGGAGGGAAGTAGAAAAGTTTGTTTAAAACTTAAGACTAAAGAGTCTCTCAGGTAGTCAACTGCTTATGGTGATTTGTCAACTCAGAAGCCTATGGATGATGAATCCAGTCTTTCTTTCTAGGTCAGAAAAATGGGTATATCTGGTCACTGAAATAGAAATGTGTTACAGTGAAAAGAATATGTGTTTTAGAAACAAAACCCATTGACAGGTTTCAGTACTGACTAAACACCACATTACTCTGCATGATCTTTGTCAGATTACGCAACTCTCTGAGCCTCAGTTTTCTCATCAATAAATTAAAGATGTTAATAATAACTCTGTGTGTGTGTGTGTGTGTGTGTGTGTGTGTGTGTGTGTGTGTGTGTATAATGGGCATAATTATTTCAAGAGTTAGAATGCATGTTGTCTGAAGATTGTTTTTCTAAATTCAAAGGGCATACTATGTTGAAGCTAAAGTAATTTATAGCATATATCAAATAACATCTTGGAAATGAAACCATGACCTATCCCTTTTTCACAACAGCAATTATCTTGTAAAGTAAAACTTTATGATAAAATAGTTAATTTTTTAAAGGTCAAAATGGAAATTTAAAAATAATCAATTTTTTAAATGTCACAATAGCAATTATCTTGTAAAGTAAACCTTTATGATAAATAATTTTATCAAAATCATTTATTTTGATAAAATTCCATAAAGCACCCACCTGAACAACTTACGGATCTCAACTTAGAGAAACCTTTGTTTCCTTCCTAATTCACTGAGAAAGGAAATCGGCAGCAATGACGATATTTTAGAAGCATGCTGGGTCTCAAACCACTATTTTGGTAAGAAAATCCATGTCATCTGGTGTTTATGAGAAAGTCACCTAAAAGTTACTTAGGTATTTTGTGACTTGCACTAGTGATCAACTTGGGACTGGGTATGCCTTGGGTTTGCCTGCTAAGGATATTATTACACAGTATCACCCTCTGGGATTATATCTTTCTACCATGTAGTCTCGCAGCAATTAAAATGAAAGTGCCTGGCTCAAGAAGGAAGGCTGGCAAGAAGAAACCAAAATGGCTTCTTATCATTTTCACCATGACCTCACCCTGTCTCATGGCCATTTTAAGCTTCTCAGAAGGATCCAAATAGGATCAATTTAAAGCAAATAGGACTTGGGCTTATACAAGCCGGCTAACAAAAATAAGCATGTTAAGCTTTCAGTCTTAAAGTTGTCAGTGGCATTGACTTAATTTAACATTAGGTAGGAAATCCTGTTATTTCTGTAGAGTAGCATCATTAGCTTTTTTTTTCCGTAATGCTCAGATTACATATTTAACCTTACAGTTTTCCTTCTCCAGCTCC